TCCCAAGGTCACACAGCTGGGATAGCTATGATGTCAAGTCCAGGTAAGTCTACAGCCTGACCTTTCCCTTCTCCCAGCAGCTGTCCCATAGAAGAACACAAGGTGACCCCTGGGAAAACCTAGGGTGCCACCCAGTCTGCCTGTCCTCCTTGTTCTGCAGAAGAGAAAATGGAGGTCAGATTAGTGAAGCTGCTGATCCAGCCCTACCCAGCCCAGACCTGGACAAGATCGCAGTTCTGACATTTACTTTCCCCCTGCAGGTCTTGGAAGACACTGCACAGGAACAGAAACAGCATCACTATGTCCCTGTCCATCATTTGGAGTGAACCTAGACAGACACATGCACCTTGCTACTCGAGCACGACCCTGCTAAGAACAGCAGTTCGCTCTGACTCTTGTGTGTGTAAGCGTTGTCAGTGGGCACCACCCTAACAAACACCTTAGGTAATAAATCTCTGAGGTTCTTACAAGTCCCCTTTCTTCAAGGTCCACCAGATCTGGAACCCGAGCTCAAGGTTCAATGTCTTCTAGAAACTTCTTTCATGGCTCTATCTCCATGACGGTAAGCATGTTCACAGCTATAACCCTCACAGGGCAATGAGCCTCTGGAAACCTCAGCTGTCTTTCAAACACCTCTGCCTTGACATTACCCAGCATTTTCATGGTTTGGATTAATGTCCCCCAAGGCCCATGTGTCAAAGGCTTGGTCCCCATCCATGGTGCTGTTGGAAGGTGGTAGAAGCTTTGAGAGGTAGGACCTTGTGGGAGGCCTTAGGTTCTTGGGGATTCACCTTCAAAGGGGATGTAGGACCCTAGTTCCTTCTCTTTTTTTGCTCCATGTCCATGAGGTGAATGATTCCACTATACCACATGCTTCCCACTCTTGCCATCTGGCTTTCCTACCAGAGGCCTAGAAGGACTGGATCTGCCCAGTTCCAGACTGGAATCTCTAAAACCATGAGCCAAGCAACCCGTTTCTCTATAGGCTGCTGATCTCAGATACCTGTTATAGTGATAGAAAGCTAATGCAACCATCACATCTGACATGAGAAAAATAATACACGATGGCTGAATTTGTAAACAACTTACAAAAATAATCTCAGGACCCTTGGTGGTTTGTATGTGGATGGACTTCTTGGTAAATAAGTTCACTTAAGCCATTATAAAACATTTTTATCATTAATTCTGTCTATAGATATAGAAAAACTTATTGAGTGACATAAAAACTTTCCTGTTCTTATCTCTCTGCTCTCTGTTGAGAAGAAGTTATGAGATAGGATATGATTAAACAAGCAGATAAGAATGCTATGACATTGATCTCATTTTTACTTAGCTGCAACTTTCCCAAAGTTACACAAACCTCTATGAGTCATGGTTTTTCCTCTGTAATATGGGGTTTGTTGAGCTAAGCATGCTGGTACACACCTGTAATCTCAACATACTAGGAGGCCAAGGCAGGCAGATTACAAATTTGAGCCCAGGCTAGGCAATTTAGCAATTTAGGGAGACCCTGTTTTAAAAGAAAAAATAAATAGGGCTGGGGATGTAGCTCAGTGTGAAAGCCCTGGGTATAATCCCCAGTACTGTTTAAAAAAAGGGGAGGGGTGTTTCTGATAATAACTGCCTCTGACAGTTATCAAGAGGATGACAAAGCATTTAGAGCAATGAATGCACATAGTTATCGTTCACGTGTCAGCTATTATAATTTTTAGAGATATGAGAGGTCACCACTGATGTGAGTGGTTCTTGGCTTCATAGAAGGTGTGGTGTCTCAGAGGCCCTCTGCCTTGGACTTCTTCCTTTCTAAAGCCCAGTCTTGGGCAATCACCTCCATTCTCACAGCACCGACGATTGTCATGTTTCCCACTGAGTCCAAGTTCCTCGTCTTTAGCACAGGCAGCTCTCCCCACCCCCAGACTCACTTACCCAAGTTTCTACTGATAGACTCACTTAGACATTCCCTAGTCGCTTCAAACTCACAATGTTAAAAGTGTAAAAAAAAGAAAGGACAAGGACTTAAATAGGTAATAACCAGAAGAGGAGGTGAACTTGAAAGACAGTCTGTTTCAGGTGGGAGAAGCCAGAGAGTCTTTAATGTTTGCTGAAAAGTGCTGGGAAGAGGGAGTGGCTGGAGGCACAAGGGGACAAGGGGACACGCTGAGGGCTTGAGCAGGTGACAGTGAGGGCTGTCCAGAGGAAGGTGGAGGTGGCTGGGACATCTTTTCCATGCTGGACACAGTGGGGGTGTACATGAATGGCTACAGGGAGATGTGGGAACGTATGTGAGTTCTGCCCAGTGACCCCTGGCTTGCCAAAAGGAAGAGAATGCTGTTGGCTAAAAACAGAGGAGGGGAAGAGAGAGCAGGGGCTCTATTCATGTCATGAACATTTCTTGCTTTGCTGCCCAGGAGTGAAAGATGGGCAGGTTCACAAGGCTGTGCGTGGTCCCATGGAGACCAAAGACCACACGTCTGTCTCTGCCCACCTGGGAGACAGTGAAACTGCGTCTGCTGTGCTTCTTGGCAAGAGCCTGGGGAAACCGGAGTAGGGAGGGTCACTGGATCCAGGGCGAGGAAACAGAAGGTTCTGACTAGAGCCCCACTGGCTACGGGGAAGGCCAAGCCTGTGGAGGTGGGCATGGGGCCAAAGAGGAGGTGCAGAGGGATGGGCAGTGCGGGGCTGGGAGGGGAGCAGGCTATGCTCAGGAAATGCTGTCCTGAGGTTACAGTTTTCTGGAGTACATACTGGTGAACCCTTGGCTGGAAGGAGTTGAAGGGAGGTCATTCAAGAGGACAGAGTGAGGAACTGAAGCAAGTGTATAGTTTTAGTCATTTCCCTATGTGTCACAGGAAGGGGGAAGAGGAAGCCTGTAAGGAGTAGTCTGTAAGAGACATGGTGCCAAGGACAACTATCAAGAGAGGCAGGACAGCCCGAGGCCTCACACCAGACAGGGCAATGATGATCTGAGGCTGGTGGCCCTGGGGGTAAAGGGCTTGCAGAATCCTTCTCCTGGCATGGAGGCCTCACCGAGTTGAGCTACCCACGTGGGCCAGGATGCCGGGGAAAGTGAACCAGGAGGAGATGGACCAGGGTGTGAATGTAACATAAAGACTCACTCTAGGACGCCAAGGAATGCATTCACCATGGAGTAGTGTGATGGCTTATGTCTCAGTTACTTTTCTCTCCTGGCTGAGACAAAACCCCTGACACCCAAAGTTAAAGGAGGAAAGGTTTATTTAGCTCACAGTGTGTAGGGGTTTCAGTCCATAATCAGCTGGTTCCAAGGCAGGGTGGAGGAAGGAGAGGGCAGGTGTGGCTTTCTCTGAGGCTGGCAGTGGTGAGCAAGGCTGGAACGCTCTGCCATCCTCCCTGTGGGATGTCCCTTTGGGCAGGTGAACTTGGGGGCACAGACTCCAGTGACAGAGGTGTCACAGGACATGATTCTATGGGTACAAGTCAATAGGAAGAAAATGTGTCACTTCCTTGGACACCAGCACAAAAGTGTCTCCTTCATTTGGAGGAAGCAGGCCACAAAGAAAGAACATTTTTGATTGGAACAAAAAATAGCCTTGTTCAGTCCTGTGAAGGAAAGAGGTGGAAAAAGGAAATAAAATCCACAGTTATGCACAAGCAGAATTGCCTGACATGTGGGTTCACGGGCGACAACCCTGCCTTTGGGTATGGCTTCAATACTGACTGACACACAGCTACACAGAGAGAGCCAAAACTGAAAAAAAAAAAAAAAGGTAAAACTGGTCTAGCTTATAAACTGATACATACATGCATAAACTGGCATGTCTCTTTAGAGGGGTAGCCCTTGTTAAATTTCCATCATGGCAGCCTGCCAAGTAGAGTGGTCATGAGTAACATGCTGATGGGATTTCAGGTGAAACCACAATCTTTCTTCCATCAGATCTTATTTTACTATTTAAAAACTAAGTATCAAACTATTTGTCTATCTCCTAACACTATCTTCCCCAGAAACTTCAATTGGTTGAAAGAGACTTGGCATTTAGACCAATCCCCTAGCCATAATTTTAAAAAGTAAACACAGGGCCGGGGATTCAGCTCAGTGGTTCCGGCACCTGCCTCACAAGCGCAAGGTCCCTAGTTCGATCCCCGGTACCCGCCCCCCCCAAAGTAAACACAAATGTTTAATAAACACAGAAGTGTTAATAAAACATTAGCTGTTTTATTTTTCTTTTGATTTTTATTTTTTTTCTGATTACAAAAGTTATACATGTTCATTAAAACATGAACTTTTAAAAAATCACACAAGTGCCAGGGATTTAGCTCAGTGGTTCCAGCGCCTGCCGCATAAGCACAAGGTCATGAGTTCAATCCCCGGCACCGCAAAAAAAAAAAAAAAAAAAAAAAAATCATACAAGTGTCCATAATTTATTGTAAATTACTGTTAATGCCTTAAAATAAATTTTTCCAGTTTTTCCTGAATATGTAAATGATTTTTCTGCCCTATGGTTAGAGATTCTGGTTGTCCTGTTGTTGAAGTTTAGATCTAAAATGTCCCCTCAAAATCTCTTGTATTCTGAGGTGGAGCTTTTGGAAAGTGATTGGATCATGGGAATGCTATACTCATCAGTGGATTCATCCATGAATAAGTTCACAGCTGATTGTGCTACTAGAAGATGGGTCTTTGGGAATATGACCAGGCTCTTTCCTTCTCTCTCTGCTTCCTGGCTGTCACGCTGTAAGCAGCTTTCCTCTGCCCTTCCACCATGTTCTTTCTGCCTTGACGCAGCTAGCCATGGACTAAATCCACTAAAACCATGAGTCAAATAAACCTCTCCTCCTTTAACTTGTAAGTGTTGGGTATTTTGTCCCAGTAATGGGAAGGTGACTAATACACCTGTATTTTTGTGCTAGTGTTAAATTACCATTTGTTGCTATGCAACCCAGCATAAATCCTCCAAACAAAGCAATGCATTCATGATCTCAGGGTTCCATGGAAACCTTAGATGGCAAAACAATGACTTCAAAAGATCTCCAGGTGCTTCTCTTCTCTACAAGCCAGTGCTAAAGATATAGCATCCCGTCTGGCCTTTAATGGGCACTCCATGTTTGGTAAATGACTGAAAATGTTTCTTTTGCTTCCTATCCTGCCTGTATTGCTTAAGGTAATGCATCATATTATGACACAAGATGAATATTTCTAAACACAAAAGCAATCACTTTCAATAAATGTAGCACATTAGAATTACATCTTTAGAATTCTTTTCTGGCCTAGAGTTTCTCAACAATGTCCTGTGGGACATCAATCCCCCAACAAGCTCAGAAAACAAGCAATTTTATAGTGGGACAAGTGGGAAATACTACAAAATTTCTCCTCTCTCTAGGAGAATCCAAAATAACCATATTGATATATTAAAAGTCCAGATGTTCAATAATGAGGACACCTGTATCATAGCAAATCTAACTTTACAGAGGATTAAAATGGATGCTGGAAGGGTGATTTGATTTGCTCAAGCCACCTGGCTGACAAGTACCAGTCCTGGGTCCCCCTAAGCATCTCTAGCTCCTGGGTCACAGCTCTTCCCATCTCTCCCTTCCTCTCTGGGTTTCTGTCACTTCTACTGGACTCAGAGGGGAAAGTTTTACATTTGGATCAATGGGGCATTTTTAACTCCAAATAGGCAGTTTTATTTTTCAAACACAGCATGAGAAAGTCTGCATACTTCATTTGCCACCTTGAGGTCAGGGCTTGGTGCCAGGAAGTTCCTAAGACAATTGTTCCTTAAGCATGGTCTATAACAAGTACAATTTTGTACATGAGGTCAAAAATAAAGAACTTTCCATTTTCCACGGGTGCCACTAAATAATGCCTCCTTCTTCAATACTTACGGCTGCAATAAAACTGACATATAAAATGTCAGTTAGCCAGGCATGGTGGCATATACCTATAATCCCAGCACTCTGGGAGACTGAGACAGAAGGATTCCAAGTTCAAGCCTGGCCTGGGAGGCTTACAAGACCCTATTTCAAAATAAAAAATAACAGCTGGGAATGGATCTCAATGTGAAAGCCCTGGGTTCAATCCCTAGTACTGAAACAAAAGTCACCGCCTTTCCTGTTTCTAGATTTGTGTAAGATTTTCTTTTTTTTGTCTTGTTTTCTTTGTAAAATCAGGAGTTGTTTTTATTTTCACTTGTTTCCTTTTTGTCCCTGAAATCTCCATCTAAAGTAAACCTGTCACTCACAAGAACTCTGGATCTTCTGAGCCCCTCTCCATTTCTGGAACCGAAGACAATTTTTAAAGAGCATAGCCTGACAATCTGATTGCCGGGGAGATGGTTGGATTAAGGACCAGGGTGGTCCCATCCACAGCCACATACTTGCAGGCAAAACCAGCCAGGCACCTATGCTGCATATGGAAGATGCAAGCTGTCTCACTCTTTGTATTCAGTTGGCAGATTGCAGCCCATGCAGAGCTCACTGTGCTGATGAGATGGGGAAGTAGCTTCTCTAATTTTTCTCCCCATGTTTTCTAGTTAGTTTATAATGGTTAAATTTCCAGGAGATTTGCTAGAGCTAAGCCCTTTGGTGTCACATGGCCACTCAATCTGCTCAGCAGGGAAACTCTTTCTAATCTCTCTCTGCCCTCCCCACAGGACCTCATTTAAATATCTTCACCCTACCTATACCCTGGGAACTCAAACAAAGCTTCTGTCATTGTCCTAGGTCAGCCAGAATGTTCTAGAAAAAGGAGGGCAGCTGGTAATCCAATAACAGCTGCTATGATTGGCCCCAAGGTACATTTCCTATGTGTTCTGTGAGAAACTGTGCTTTCCTTTGTTTTGAGTTTCACTATCTGGAGTCTTTCTATTATCCTTGTTACCTGTGGGACCAGAGGGGGAAAACAGATTTGGTGGGGAGACAGGAGGGCTAAAACTTACCCGACAGTGCTCAATTTTGAGTTACAAAATATTCTTTAAAACAGACCTGAGGATCAGTAGAATAGATTAGAAGATGCAGAAACAACTCCAGACATACTCAGCCACCTCATCTTTGACAAAGGAGCCAAACACCCTCACTGGAGGAAAGATAGCCT